AAACACCCCTGCAGGCATGAACAACAACAACAACGAATACAACAAAACTGAATGACCACACTTAGAACAATTGATACTACACATGTTTTAATAATTCTGCCCCGAATCATGAGTACTGGTAGTCTGTTTCACTGGATCACTGATCTGGTGATCCCGGGATCTGGACGCCTGACCTGGTGATCTGGTGATCTGGCCGACGACAAACTGGGTCCTTACGCAAGACGGGTAGCGCACTACATTGGATACGAAGGCGCTTACGCGCGATCTCATGCGGGCTGCTTGCTCGCCGGTGTCGGCGAAGCCGAACCCATTTTTCTGCGTGAAATTCACTGGATCACTAATCCGGTCATCCCGTGATCCGGCCGTCTGATCCTGTGATCCAGTAATCTGGCCGCCTGATCGGGTGATCCAATTTACTGGATCACTAATCCAATGATCTGGTGAACCAACCGCAAGATCCTGTAATCTGGTGATCCGATTCGCTGGATCACTGATCTGATTAGGCGATCCACCCACATTATCCGGTGATCTTGTGTTCAGATTCACTAGATCACTGATCCGGTGATTTGGAGATCCTCATCCGGCCACCTTGCAGGTGATCGAATGATCCCGTTCACTGGACCCTGATCCTGTGAACCCGTGATCCAGCCGCTTGATCTGGTGATCTGGTGATCTTGTCCGCTGGATCACTGATCGGGTTATCCTGTGATCAAGCCGCCTGGTCCAGTGATACAGTGATGCGGTTCACTGAACCACTGATTCAATGGACGGATCGAATTGACAATGAAAACTCCAGTCCAGATGCATCCGGAAATCCATTATGTGGTTTGACACTGACGCCGCGCTATGTCGAGGACGTCCCCGGCCCGGCGAAACAGCCAGACAAATCAACAATACCATAATCGCCTTCGAGCTCTACTCCCTCGAAGAGATGCGTACTACGTACGTGCATATACGTGCAAAACAATTCATACACATGGCGTGCGACAAGAATTATGCAATGGACAGAGAGAGTGAGAGACAGAGAGGGAACCAGAGATAGAGAGAAACTGTTTCTGGGGCATGTGTATGTATATCTATATTTATATATACAATTATGTGTATAGATAAAGAGAGAGGGGGAGAGAGAGAGAGAGAGAGAGAGAAAACGACAGAGAAGGCGGGGATAAAGACAGAGAGAGAGAGAGTGACAAACGAGAGAAAGAGAGAGAGAGAGAGAGAGAGAGAGAAAGAGAGAGCCAACGGTGAGCTCGCGGGAAGGACGCGCGCATCCATTTCCACACTGCCCACCTGCCCACACCATCATCGTCACTAGGCAGAAAAGCCTCACAACCAAATCACACGAATGCTGGGGGGAACGCGCCACGTCTTGCATAGACCTAGGGATCCGCCAAAACGCGCGCGCCAGACCATGGCGTGGGGGCCAGGCGCGCTCCGCGGCACGAGCACGCGGGGACGCCACCGCCGGGCGCGCCGCCTGCGTCGAGGACCGATGAAGAGGCCGAAAACGAGGTGGCACGCAGAAGATGGCAAGAGGACGCCGCGTGACTGTACGCAAAGGGCTATGACATGTATGCACAAGAGCACCCATGAGCATCTCGCACCAGCTGGCGGCCCCTGGCAGTCACCAGCAGAAGTAGCAGACGGGCTCGCACCGCGCGCCGCGCGCGAGAGCGCGGGATCGCGCAATCGCCCTCGCACCCCTTTTGCCGCGCGAGACCGGGCCGTCTTCGGGCACGCGCCGCCTGGCTTCCTGCGTGCTGCGCGAGGGACAGCGAGCACCAGGGAGGAGGAGGAGGAGGAGGAGGAGGAGGAAGCCCAGAGGGGAGGCGGCAGCCCAGAGGAGGAGGAGGAGGAGGAGGAGGAGGAGGAGGAAGACCAGATGGGGAGGGGAGAAGCGCGCGCTCTCCTGAAGGCGGTGGTCGTCTCGCTGCGCGCCTCGCCTCGAAACTGCCCGAGCCGTGCGGCTGCCGCCGCTCCGCTGCCGCCGCTCCGCTGCCACCGCTCCTGCGCCCCGCCTCGCCGCCGGGAGCCGAGGTGCTGCTCCGCGGCGCGGTGGGCAGGACACCCCAGCCGCATCTGCTGCTGCTCGTCGTGCTCGTGGGGGCCTGGGTGCTGCTCGTCGGGCCGGAGCAGTGGCAGGCTGGCGCCGGGGAACATGCCAGGCTTGTCCCCCCGGGATGCGGGCCGCATCCCCCGCGTGCCGCCGCTGGCGCCCCAGCAGTCCCGGCTCGGGGGTGCGGCTCAGAGGCACGGAAGTTGTGCACAGAGCAGCCCGCCAAGCTCGTGTATTGGCTGCTGCTGCTCCCCGTCGTTCACGCCTGTCCCAGCCGTGGTGATGCTGCTCCACCCGCATATTCCGCAGGGCACCGGAGCGCTGCTCACTGACGTGGTGGTCGCCCCACTGCACGTCGCGCCTGTGCGTATCGGAGCCTGCGGCTGTTCAAAGGGAAGATGTACGTACCCCCCATTCCCCGCTTACGCTGGCAGAAAAGAAACTGCCTAGGCACGTAGACTGTAAATCTGAGCGGATTTCCTGGATCGGCGATGGGCCCCCCCTCCCTGGCGCGCGGAGCGCGCCAGGGGTGGCGCCGGAGGCGCCGCCGGGAGGGTCCAGCTAACAAATCCGCGCGGACCTCCGAAACATAGGGCTCACTACGCGCTTTCGTAGAACACTCGGTATGCTCGTTCTCCAGCGTAATGGCAGTGAAGGTCCTGGAAGTAAGGGGAGGAGGAGGAGGATGAGGAGGAGGGGGAGGAGGAGGAGGAGGAGGAGGAGGAGGAGGATTTTGTTGGGTCCAAAGCAATCGAATCCACAGGATGTGCCCCCAAAAGCAAGGCGACTCCCTACGACCGTCGGCCTCGGCGGGTGGCGTACATTGATACATTTCCGCCTGGGGGGGCCTCCAGTCTCGGACGGGTGCCGTCTGGCCCTCGCCTTCGCCGCAGAGCTCGCCATACGCCTTCCCCTTCTGAGAGCCGACGGGCCTCTTTATGCACTTTGTTATGTTTATTAGTCACTTCGACGCTCGGACGGGCAGGCCTCGTCGGCGTAGCGTCGCGATCTCGGTTGCAGAGTCGTTTTCGGCCACACCTCTCGATGAACAACCACAGGCGTACTCTCCTTGCAGCGTGATTAATCCTGATATTGATCTATCTTGGCCAACATGATTCGGAACATGATCTGAACATGTACCGTCCCCCGGTGACAATTGCACGGATGTTTGAATTGACATGTAATGAGTTGACACGTGCACGCATGTATATAAACATACACACAGATGCGCCAGAATAACAGGCACGCCGACACCCTGCACTGAAAAGTCCCAAACCTCAACATTCTTCCTCCTACCCCCCCCTGCCAACTCCGCCTGCCCCCCTTCCAGCGCAGGGGCCTCCCAGATTGGGTCGGAGCAGATAGGGTCGGAGGATTGCGCGGCATCCCCACTGCACCGCCGCTGCGTGTGCGATGCAGAGGCGTCGGCGATGCATCGTCGACGCCAGAGTGGAGAACATCGCGGGTTCCATCTTGCGCCGCATCAGCGATGTGACATGATCCCCCGACCCCATCAACTCTAACCCCATCTGAGAGGCCTAGACTCAAGTCGGGCGTGTCCCCCTACAGGGGGATTTTCGACGAAAACTAAAAAACGAAAATACCCCAAAAAGGTCAAAACATAGTCAAAAAAATGCCCAGGCTATTTTTGGATTATGTTTCGACTATTTTGAGGGTATGTTTTGTTTTTCA